AAGGAATACCAAAGTTAGATATATGAGATGGCATGGAAAATTCCAAGAGAAAACTTCAGAACATAGGTTACCTCAGTACCAAAGGAAGCTACTTAGATTTCTACAAAGTATTTAGAGAACAATGCCAATTTATAAAAATAGAACCAGGTCCTTACACAACCAGGTTCATTAGTTTTGTTTGCCTTTGACTTTTAGGGCCTACTTTTGAAAACATTTTTAAAACTTGAATTTGTTGCATACCCCCATTTTCTCTTCCCCCTAGAGGTAATCAGGTCTTTAAATTTTGTTTTAAATAAAACACAATTTTTTGTTTTTTTTTAATTGTTTTTATTTTATCCTTCTATTTTTGTAAAATATAGATTCATATTCTTCTCCCCCTTTAGTTAAATGGTAATATATTACCTTTGGTTTTTCCATGTTGCTTTCTTCACTGGAGATCATGCCCTAGCAGTATATATTTTTACAACTGTGTAGTATTCTAGGCATGTGAGCAGGTCCTTGTGTGTTTAACCATTCTGTGATGGATGGACATTGAGGTTGTTTCCAGTTTTTTGCTACTACAAATAGTGTTCATTGAATAACCTCATGTATATATCTTTTTGTATTTTTGCCAGTGTATCTTTAGGATAGATTCCTAGAAGTGGGATTTCTTTACATGAAATTTTGCTAGATATTGCCAAATTTCTTTCTCCATGAATTATCCATTTTTGCATTCCCACTAGCAAAATACGAGTGACTATTTTTCTCACTACCTTGTCAATACATTATGTTGTCAAACTTTTGCCAATCTGGTAGCTGAAAATTTGTATCCCACTATAGTTTTAATTTGCATTTATTATAAGTATGATTCAATAAGTTTTCATATATTTAAGGGCCCTTTATTTTCATTTTTTTCCTTTCCTCTCCATCTTTTGAAGTACTTTGTATATTTGTAATATTTACAGTGGTATGTTTAACTGGGTAGTGCCGGCTTACAAGTGCTGATCGTTAAATTTTCAGGAATTTTATGAGCCATTTGATGTCATGTTGGTCCAGATTATGTCATCTTGGCAACTTAAAACATGTGATGAGAGTGTTTACCCCATGGTAATTGGCAAATGCTATAAATCAGGGCTCTTTTTCACCTTCCCCACCAGAACACACCACTGGACATTAATCCTTCGTCTATAATATAAATTGGAAATATTTCTTTACCAGTTTGTAATTTGTCTTTTTATTTTGATTATGATGTTTTGTTATGCAAATATTTTGTTGTTGCTGTTGTTGTTTTGTATAATCCAAATTTCAGTCTTTTCCTTTATTGCCTTTGGATTTTGAGTTAGTTAGAAAAGTTTCCCCAGTTCCTTGGTTATGGAGGAATTTGCTCATACTTTCTTATAGTATTTACTTAGTTTTATTATTATTTTTTAATTTAAATCTTTGATCTATTTGGAATTCATCTTTTGTGGAGAAACAGATATGATTGTATCTTTCTCCAGTGGCTACGCACTTACCCCGACACTATTTATGAAGAAGGTCTCCTTCTCCATTGATTCGAGATGCCCCCTTTTTCATTCATTACATTTCCAGATGCAGTTAGATTTATAGTTGGATTTTCTACTCTGTGTTACTGATCTATATACTCGTGTGCCAATGCCATCTTCTTATTATACTGGCTTTATAATATTTTACTAACTGGCAGGGCTAGCCTCTGCTCATTTTCTTATTTTTCAGGTCTTTCCTAGATATTCTTGTTTATTTATCCTTTTAAATGAACGTTATAATAAAATTGTCTTAGCTCTAAACCTGGCTCTTCTGTTGTTTTGAAAATATGGCCTCATATTTTCTGACTTCAGCCTTCTCTGTTCTGTTCTCCCATTTCTGTCTAGACCTTCTCTTTCTTTTTCTCCTAATATCCTTGATCTAGACAATTTGAATTCTACTCCCAGAAGTTTCCTCTCAGAGAAAGCATTTTCTATATCTCATCTAGCATTTTTTGAAATCGCTAATTCAGTTGCTGAATAGCGATGGGAGTTTGGTCAAAACGATCCTCAGAATTTTTTCACCTGTACATTGTAATTGGGAAATAATTGATTTCACAGGTTTTTTTCTTTTTATAATTAGAAATAATTTTCAATCAGTTCTTAGCCTTATCAGCAGAATTAGACTAATTTAATCACCCTCTCCTTGAAACACATTCTTCAACTGATTTCCATGATACCACATTCACCCATTTTTCTTCCTAACTTTCCTCTCCTCTCATCTAAGCTCGCTTCGTGAGTTTATACTATCTCATAAATTTAAATATACAAACAACTCCCTAATTTTACATCTCCAGTCCGGACCTCTACTATATACTCGAAATTTGTACATCTAACTGCTTCCTTATCAACTCCCTCTTAATGTCCCAAAGGCACCTCCAACTGAACTTACCACAAAAAAACTCTAATATTCTTTCTCAAACCTGTTTCTCCTATAGTCTTTTCGATCTCAGTTAATGACAATTCTGTTCTTCTAGTAGCTCAGGGAAAAATTCTTTACTCTCTAATCCACCTACCTATGGGTTCATTCATATGGCCACAACTGGCAGCTCAGCTGGAATGGCTGGAATTACTTGGACAGCTGGGTCTCTCTCCACATGGTCTTCTACCGCAGGCTTCTTCAGATCCTGGCTTCTTCAGGGTTTCTAGAGGGCAAGTCCCAACATACAAGCACTTCTTAAATCTCTTCTTGACTCACACTTTCTGATATATTAATTTGAATTCAGTGTCTTTACCACTGGAGCAAGTTAAACAGCCAAGAACCCACCCACACAAATACCTATGTATGGTGAAATGACTGTGCTAGGCAGTTGCCAGGAGGTTTCCCATGGTTTGGCAGTTACTTACTCATTTGTAATCAACAAACTTTAGCAAAGCTGCAGTTAGTTGGCATTTTGTGGTGCCTGTTGGATGTGACCACAACACTCAGCTTTTCCTCCCCAATGACATGATGATTTCTCAGCTATTTTTGTTTATCTGAGCCTTCTTTTCTAAGCCAAATTTCTGCAAGATTTTCTTTCAGGTCTCTTTTGTAACTAAAACCTCAAGTGTTTCCAGATTTGGAGATTAGAAGTACTTCCCCTACACCTTCAGGTTTTCCAGTGTTTCGTAACTTCTACTTGTCCAGACTTTTTCATTCTTCTGTCAGTTGTTTCTTAAGTTTTCTAATCTTTTCATTTATATTTTCTCTTCACCTAATACTTTCCTTTGCTTTCCTTGGGTTATTTTGATGCCCTTTTTCTAACTATGTGAACTGAATGTTTAATGAATTTATCTTCATTCTTTCTTAGTAATGAATATGTATGAGCTGTTATATTTCTTCCTAAGTATTGCACCATCTGCATATTAAATCCATTCACCCAGATCAGATTCACCAGGGAGCAAGCTTTCCTTTACCATTCCTCTCTGAAATAATTTCTGTCTTTGAAATCGCAAGCAGTTTTGGATTACTCACTTGGCGGCCTCTGAGGAGGAGAGCACTGTGTTTATTTTCACAGGGCTTTCTTTCTGCCTTAGCATAGTGTCCTAGCACAAAGAACTGATGATAAGAATGAATAAACCTATTGTGCGCTTACCCTGTAGCTGGCATGGTACTTTATACACATTACTTGTAACAACTCTATACTAATCTTCCATGGCCTTTTTACATAGGAAATAGGTACTAAATGTTTGCCTGGTGTTTCTACTCTGGAACCTGTCAAACCTTCAGTTTTAGGGCCTTTCCCTTTACCTGTGTTGCTCTCTTTCCATCTTCTAATTCAGAACTCAGCGCAAACGCCATTTCTTCAGAGCCCTACAGATCATGGGGTCTAAAACAGCCTCCAGCCACACATTCACACATTCTGTCACTGTTCATAGCACTATCTCATATTATCTCACTCATTTATTCTCCTTGTTATGATCTGCGTCCACCATTAGACTTTAAATTCCAAGGAGTAAAAATTTTGTTCACCACAGCATTTCCCATGCCCCTTAGAACAATACCTGGCACATAGTAAGCCCTGAATAAATATTTATGGAATCAATTCCTTGACGAAGGCAAATAATGGAGCCTGAGGAAGAGCCAGTCCTTTTAGGCTCTGCTAAGTGAAGTAACAGCTACTTTCGAATCTGAAGATGTGAAAATGTGACTTCTATTGAAGACATACTTCAATAGACGAGTGACTTAGCGAGCCTTACTCAATTTCAACTGGGTTTCCTCTCCTGTGAAATGAGGAGGAAGGCCCTTTCCGTGCATTTTCTCCTGTGATTCTACACAGAAAAACGTACCTTAAAAACCAGCGCGAAAGCAAGAGAGGGGGGAGAGGTCCTTTTAAGGTCGCTCAGCAGCAGAGGAGGGAGAGGAAGAGTGGAGCGGAGCACAGTGCGGGGTAGGGTGAGGCGGTGACTCTGGAGAGCGAGGGGCACCTGTGGTGGCGAGGATGGCACCGAGGTTTGGAGGGGCACGGAGGGGGCGCGGTCTATCCAGCTGGGACTGGGCAGGACAGCACCTGACATGGCCGAGGGGCGAGGGGTGCGAAGATGTTGGGGTGTGATGGGGAAGGGTGGCATCAGGTAACCACCGCGCGGAGCGGCGGCTAGGGATAGGCAGGGGCGCTCAGGAGTTTTCAAGAGTGCACGCGCGCGCGCGCGGCGCGGTCTGCTCGGCAGGACAGGGCGGGGCACTGACGGGACGCGGGGGTGGGTCTGAGGAAAATGGGGGCCAACCAGGGGTCGCCGAGCAGGCCTCGGTGGGGTGGGTGTGCCCGGGCGGCGGAGGATTGCAAAGAGGGTGAAGCGGGACCGCCGAAGGGAGCAGACAGAAGCAGGTGGGTGGGAAGGAGGTTCGCGGGACGCAGGTGGCTGCCCGGCGGCCCAGGGGCTTGCAGGCTTGTCCGAGGGGCTGCGGCCGGCGGTGGGGAAGCTCTGGG